GGCGGAGCTTGCAGTGAGACAAGAGTGCACCACTGCACTCCAGCCTGGGCCAGAGCAAGACTCTGTTTCAAAATAACAACAACAACAACAACAAAACCATGTCATGTTTACAGTTGGACTGTCACTTATAAGGTTCACCTCATGTGTCTCCTGTTGAAATTCTACCTTTTCCATGGCCTTCTTTCTTAACTAGAATCATGAAATTTGGGTGCTGGCACATTTGATGTTTAACTCTTTCAATTTACTGGTGGGAAAATTAAGGCCCAAGAAGATGAAACGGCTTGCTCAAAGTCAAACAGCCAGAGCATAGAGTAGAAGCAGGATTCTGGCTTCCTAATAAGATTAGTCCTTATTAACTTCCTAGAATATTCATATGATATTACTATATGTATCAAGTAATCAGACACTGTCTGGCATTGCTCACTACTGTTTCATGTATGTCAGTTTTGTTTTCAACTAATTTTTAAGTTCCTTTTGGGCAGGGAATACATCTTAAATCTCTGTACACACTGCCTGAGTCTTAATATTTTTGTAAGACTTGTACCTACAATGTGTCAGCTACTAGACCAATCACTTTACAAACATTTTTTTCATTTAGTATTTACAATAATTCCTGACAAATAAGTGCCATTTTTCCCAATTAACTAATAGGAAACTGGGGCCCCAAGATGCTAAGGAACCTCTCAGCATCACCTAACAATCTAGTCCTGAAACCAGAGTTCAAACTCTAGACTGTCTAGACTTCAACCCGTTCAACCAGGTTGCTTCTTTGTGAAAATACCTAGAAAATGGAAGGGCAACTACATGATCCCATTTTACAGATGGGGAAACAGGAATCAGAAATGGGAAGAGACTTTCCCAAAATCACATAGTTGGTAACACCAATGTAAATGTTCGGATGCCAAATCCAATGCACCAGTATACCATAAGATGTTCAAACAAAAGTCTGACCTGTTGATTACCATGTTAATAAATTCCTTGTCTCTTATTAAATTTCTAATCACTCCTCATTTGTTACATTACATAAAAATACTACCTGAGGATTTCAGTTTTAAGTTTACAGTACCAAGATTATTTATGAGTATCTTTTAATCGCATTTATTGCATTTAACCTACTATTAATAACTAAACTTTTTGTGAAGTTAGAGTTCTGTATCATTCTGATTAATTTTTTGGATTTTTTGTAAACCCCACAATGCCTTAAACAATGTCTAACATGTGCTAAATATATTTTTTGAATGACTGAATTACAGCATTTGTTCTTTACATGTTGATGTTTCAAAAATTTTTTCTCGAGGGAATGTAAGTTACTCAAGGACAAGTTAATCTTTAACTCACCCCTGGCTCTCCAATATTCTGAGCCCAACAATGTTTACATGATAAATGCTCGAATTTTATTGACTTGAACTGAACTGATTTGATAAATAACCCCATTACCCAAAACGTATTTATGTGAAAGCTTGACCTGAATGAAGAAATAACATAGTACACTCAGAATACTTTCCTTGTACAAAAATGAAGACATCTTGGCCTCTGGTTCCCTACAGAGGGATGCTTTCCATCTCTGAACATCTGTAATACTAACTCCCTAAACCATTCGTTTGGCATTTAGTATGTATTAGCTTGTACTATTGGTAAATTTTACATCTATATCCTCTTTCCTTGAGTATAACGTAAACCCCAGAGTTGAGACTACAGTTATTGCCTAAAAAAGCATGGTGTAGTGAAAAGAGCATGAGTTTTGGTGACAGACAGAAGTGGGTTCAAATCCTAATTCAGTCATTTATCAACTTTGTGACCTCAGAAAGTATTCATTTCATCTCTCCAAACTTGTTTCATTGTCTATAAAACAGAGACAATACCTATCTTTCAGGGTTATTGTAAGGATTAGAAGTAATACATTTCAAAACTGCTGGCACACAGTAACACTCAATAAATTTACAAAGAAAAATCTCTACTATAAAAACTCTTTGACTCTTCAATAATTAAGAATGCCCATATATGCTAGGTACACAATAACACTTATTGCTGACAATATAACCACATGCTTTGTATTATGTCTGCAGGTGCAATGATAAAACAATAACATACCTGTTAGATAAGAGGTAAACTGTTTTGGACCACAACGAATAGCATAACGTGTAGTTGTTCTCACAGCTTTTGGTTCAGTCTGCAATGCATCCCTGGGACAAAAGAGGGTTCCATCTGATGTTTCTCCCCACCATCTCACTCGGACCAGTACACAAGTGGGAGGCTTTGCAATCTTCCATATGACTCTATTAATAGTAAGTTTTAGAAAACAGCGTAGCTGGCCTTCAACCAGAGGTGGCAGGCTTGTAGATGGAGAAATGTCACTTAAACCTGTAGAGGAATCCAAGAAAATGGAATCAAAATTTAGACTAAATATAGAAAACATATAATACGCTTTTTGAATGAAAACAAACAAAACACTTTAGTCTTAAGTTCAGCAATTCATCATCATTTAGAAAAAAGGTTTATCCTACCCATTATTCTAACACATGAGAAGTAACTATCAAATCAGACCACAGAATAATCTACCTGGTCATGTAAGTCACCCTGATAACTAATTAGTATTTAAGGTTTGATTTGAGTTACTGTAAGTAAAGAACATACCAACAAAGACACACTAATATAAACTTTTCTTTAATTGAGTTACTATTTGAAAAATAGAAATATCAGAAGTAGTTGAAATTTTTCTAAGTATGGTTGAAATTTTTACAAGTACAGTTGTTTTAATTATTGCAACATCTATGGTTTTTAAGATATGTAATCTTTAACTCTTTTTTTTTTTAAAAAATCACTAACTATAAAACAGTAACAACTCCCTTCACTCACAAACGATTTAGACTATATCATACAACTCAGCATTTCAATGAAGAACATCTTAAATTGTCTGTAACTTTTCTTTCCTGCCAAGACCACACAGTCAGTGAGGACACAGACTATCTAATCTTCAGATTCCGCCACTATTTTTAACACAGTGCTGGGTCCATATATTTATTGGCTTTAGTATTTATTGGATTTCATAAAGACATTAAAGTGTAAACAAAGCAATTAATCATGACTTTCTATAAAATTTTCCTTTAATGACCCTGATTATCTTCCATTCATAGTACATTTTCAAGAAGACTTGGAGGAAATTTAAGAAACCATTCATACATTATGTATACCTTTTTTTTCTTTGACTTTTCTTTGAGGAGTGGTTATGCCTCAAAGAAGAAAATATATGGAATGTATCAGGACTAATTATTTGGACTTCTAATGCAAACATCCCCTCTGCCCTCCATAGTGGAGAAAAGACCCACCATAATCCTTACGGATAGTTTCAACATAAAAATTATACACGATTGTGTATATATTTCTACTATGGAAATGGTATAGCAAAAAAAGTATATTCTGTTCTATACTATACTATTTCTACTTTGACTTTCCGCTTATCAACCAAACATGCTTAACTGGTTTGACACAGGGAGCACTAGTATGCTTCAGTCTCAGATCCTCCTATCTTTCGTGGCAGGAAAGTCACTACCTCAAAACTGCCTTAGTAATCTTTAAACAGCTTGGATAAGAGTAATTCCCAGATTGTAGCTTCAGTCCTCAACCTAATGGCCTAATGTCCTATCACTGCTCCAAACCAATACTTCTTTTCTCACTAAACTGCCTACGATGCAAAAAGGCAGGTTCACCCACTGTCCTTTTTCCCTTCGAGGCAGTCTTGTAGAGATTCAATATCCAGTTTCCTGATCTGCCCTCGGTCCCCAGTTTGACTGTTCTCACTGCAGCTAACATCCCCTACTCGGTGAGCCTGTGTCTCCTCGAGGTGTTAACCTGATAAGGACTCTCTGCTGTACACTCTTTCACGATCTCAGGTCCTTCAGGAGAACCTCATGCCCTTACCCCCACTTCAATCCTATCACACTTGTCATTCCCCACTCTTCCCCGCTCTATACTCTACAATTATTTTTTCCCCAACTTCTGCTCATAGCCAGTCCTTCATGCTTCATTCATTCAACAAACATTTACCGAGTCCTGCTTTGTACTAATCCTTGGTCATTCAGTAATGTATAAAACGTGATTCTTGTCCACAATCACACAAGAAATGATATCATCCCTTTGCCAATTTATGTTTCTTCCTGTCCCTGCGGACCTCTAAAGCTACTCGCACACATACATTTCACTTCGTTATCAAAACCAATCCTATTATTGTTTGCTCTTCTCCTCTACAGTCATCCCACCGGTAACCTTCATCTCATTAATCACCACTTTGTGGCCCCTACCCCAGCCCCTAATTCCTTTCTATTCTCTGGAGGGCCAACTGCCCTTCCTTTTAACCTTCTGGTCCCCTGGCTATTTCCCTTCTTACGTCCCTTTTCTTGTTTATCCAGCGGGGGTGGGGGTCTCCCTAAAATTCCTTACACCCTGCTCCCCTGTTAACGCTTTCCTCAATCTTTGATCGCTCGGGTTACCTCTTTTTTTGCGCCCACGGCTGCCCCCAGGCCCTTGGCCTTTACGTTGCTTCATGATGAGCCCGAGCTCTTCTTCATCAGCACAACTCTGTCTCCACCACCTAAGCAGCCGCCTCCCGCCATCCCTCCCCACGGCGCCTGCGTTCCCCGGCAACCGGCGCCGCTGGGCAGCCTGGGAGGCAGGAAAAAGCCACTCTTCCTCTAACAGTCTCCGGAAAACAGTGGGAAGAGAAGGCGCCAAGACGCCTTCCCGCCAATAGACTACAATACCCAGGATGCTTTGCTACAATACCTCTGCGGGGTTGGCTGGGGGCGCCTCCGGCTGCGCAAGCGCATACGGATACGCCCGTTGAGGACTCCATTGCCCAGGGTGCATTGCCCTGAAGACGGCTCCTCTTTCCGGTGAAAGTTGTCGGGTTTCCAGTTGGGAGTCTGCGGAGTTCGCAGACTCTGTTACCCAGCTTCCTTTGTGTGAGGGCTGTTGCGCACTTCCGGTGGAAGTGCTGAAGCGAGTGGGTGGAGTTTGCAGAGCCGGTGGGCGGTAGGCGGTGCTACCGGTAGCTGGGTGCTGTCCAAAGGCGACTGGGCGTCGTTAGGGGAGCGAGTCGTGACCGGTTGGGCCACACTCAACGTGGGACGAAGGTTCGCCTACTGTTTGACTACGTGCGTGCAGCCTTTCCTTGATGTCGGCCCTCGAAAAGAGCATGCACCTCGGCCGCCTTCCCTCTCGCCCACCTCTACCCGGCAGTGGGGGCAGTCAGAGCGGAGCCAAGATGCGAATGGGGTACGTGACCCATACTCCTACCTAGGGGCCAGGCCCCGGCCATTGGAGAATGGTGGCTCTGAGCGTTCAGAGAGGCACGGGGAAGGAGTCTACCGATAGGAGAAAATGTTGGCGGCGGCCTGGAGATATTTAGATGGAGTAGAAGGCAGATTGGGGAACTAGGGGAGGCGCCAAGTCAATAGAAACTGGAGGAAAAATAATGTTGTTGGAGGGAGAGGGGAATGAGGCAAAGGTTGGGGAAGCTGAGAGACTAACATAACTGAGAATCACCTCCAGAATGAAGGAGGTTTAGAAAAAGGTGACAAAGGTGGAGGAAAATCGGCCAGGGAAGGTGGAGGGAAATGGGGAATGACCGAGAGAAAAGTTGAGGGGAATTGAGGCAACAACTAAGAAAAGGTTTGGGAGGAGTGGATATTGTAAAAGTTCTAATATGTATACTGTGAGAACTAGATAGTAGAAAAGCTTAGGGAGTTGGACAGGGTTGGAGAACGAAAGAGGAGCACTAGGAAGCAGACGATTCTAGATAATTCCCAGAGGTCTAAAGACAGAGTCAGGGAATGAGAGGTGAGATTAGGCCTCTTAAGGGAGAATGAGAAAGTTTGGGGAGTAGGCCTAAGGTAAGGTGGAGAATATAGCCATGAAGATTGTTAAGGGTAATAGGAATGTGCTGAGAAGCTGGACAGGATAAGGGAGAGAGAAGAAGGAGAGGACTGAAGAATTTGCAAAGTGACCATAGGCTCTGAAGATTGAGAAATAACTATAAATGCGGTTTGGTGAATGGAAGTGCTGCAGTTGTAAGGTCTGGGAAGCTTAGAGGAAGATTTGGGCAATCAGTTTTTGCGGGGCTAATAGATCTGAGGGAAGCAATGTACTGGCCTAAGACTTTGAATTAGTGAAGCATTGGGAGTTAGGGAAACAGTTTGCTGGAAAGAGAGGAGAGCCATGTTGAAGAGATAGGCTTTGGAATTTTAGATCATTAAATGGCTTGTGCCAGGTTAGGGGATACTTGGGCCGAGGACAAAGAATGAGGTGAACATGGGATAATTGCTGGAAAGTGGAGACAATTGAATAGGCATTTGGTTTTGAGGGGATATTTGTAGTTTCAGACAGGATTCTGGGAATTAGTGACTGTAAAGAGAAAAGGAGTAGGAAGGATACTTAGGTATGAGGACTCAAGAGTATATTTGGGATTCTAGAGATGAATTGATAAATATTCTTTGAAAAAGGACTACAGAAGAGAAACCTTAGGTTCTGAAGAAGTAATGTGTGTAAAAACTTACCAAAAGAAGCGAGAATAGGAGATGCAGTACTGTGACAGTAAGTCCTAGGGATGAAAAGAAAGGAGAATCCTATAAAACAGTGGGGTAAAGGAATGGGAAGAACAATTGGAAAAACCAGGGAAGGAAACTAAGAATTGAAGTGGAGACCTGCTGTGATATACAGTAGAAAAAGGAGAAAACCTTAGCAGGGGGAGTTAGAGAGATGGACGCACAATAGAGGAGGTAGAAGGCTACATAGAAGGTAAAGTGAAGATTATTTTGACTTTGGAAGATCGAAAAGTTGGACTATAACATGAATAAAGAGAATTTGGAAACTGACCCATAACATTATTTGGGAAAATTAACCTGGAGTTTAATATTAATGTAACATTAATTGTTATATATCTTCATTGCTGCCTTTCTTAAACTACAATTTGATCTTTCAGTATACCAGCACTCTTCTATACAAATACATAAGAAAATCAGATTTTTTAATAATTATACATTCTTTAGATAAGTTTAATTAGGGCTCAGCTTCTCATTTTGTCAAAACAAGTTCTCTGAAGATTGAAGAACTGGGTGAAAATACTGAGAGAAAATAAAAGGAAAATCTGCTGATTAGAAGATTGTATAATTGTTAGTAATTCATCGTTTTTATTTTGTATTACTTTTCATTTTATTTTTTTTAGAGACAGGGTCTCGCTGTGTTGCCCAGGCTGGAGTGCAGTGGCACAATCTTGGCTCACTGCAACTTCTATCTCCTGGGTTCAAGTGATTCATGTGCCTCAGCCTCCCAAGTAGCTGGGATTACCGGCGTGCACCACCATGCCCGGCTAATTTTTGTATTTTTAGTAGAGATGGGATTTCACCATGTTGGCCAGGCTGGTCTTGAACTCCTGGCCTCAAGTGATTTGCCCCACTTGGCTTCCCAAAGTACTGGGATTATAGGATTGAGCTACCATGCCTGGACAACTTACCTTTTTAAATAGATGCTTTGGTCTTCTTGGTTTAGGGTAACTGCTTATCCTGGAAAAGAAAGTTCTTTAGAAAGGCCTTTCTGTATGGTAGTATTGTGAAGAAAATTCACAAAAATATGGTAGTATTGGTGAATATTTGTGTGGTCCTCAAATGGCTTATTTTCCCGTATTTTTCTTTTCTACTTTATTGGTACATAAGCAGGCTTCATCTAAGTCTCATGGTAGTAATAATGCAGATTCTCTTTCTCCTTAGAATCATAAAGCTGAAAGAGAGCATAGACATGGATCATTTCACCACTTCATCATGTAGTTGAGGAACTGAATATTCAGAGAGTTCTGTATTCTGTAAGGGAATGTATTAATAAATGAGGGAACTGAGACTCAAATATTCCTAAAGCACCCTAGAAGCTTAGCGGTGGGGCTGTTAAGGACTAGGACTTGGGTCTCTTGACTGTGAGACCCATTGTGTATTTTGAAGTCATAATTGTCATCTGGGAATACTTAATTTGAGTTGTGTATCTTACTCCTTTGCATATAATATAGGATTCAGTCTTTTTCTTCAGTCAGTTGTAATTTATGAAGTCTCACACCAATTTCAAAGCATTCTTTATGTCTCCTTATACTTGCTTTTTTCTTAACTTCTATTCTTCCACTCTATCTGTTACTCACAAGTTAGTCCTGTTCCCTTGATAGTCTCTTGTGTGGCTTACTCTTTCAACTATTTTTCATGAACATTTCACTAAACATTATTTAGGCATGTTTGCATATTCAGGGTGCATATTCTGAGTTGGTGAGTTTTCATAATTCAGTTTTTCAGATTAGATTTAGTAATTCCAAAGTATCGTTGGATAATTTAATAATAGCAATTTTTAAAGTAAGTACTGTGTGCCAGACATTGTAATGGTAACTTTATGTCATTTAATGTGTGCACAGACCTGCAAGGTGAATATTTTCCTGCATTATGGGTAAAGACATTCAGAGATTAAAAGTCACCCAACTAGTATGTACCAGAATCAGGATTCAATCTAAGTTTAGTCTCTAGAATCCATTCGCTTTTCAGTACACCAATATTTTCTCCTGGGTAAGGCCTGAAATCCTGGTGTCACTGTTCCTTTTAATAGATGCCAATGGATGTTGCCAAAAACATAGTGGTTTTGAACTTTATTCAAGCTTTTAGAGCTACTCTGACTAAAGTAGATTTGAGATCCCTATTTGTTTTGCACCCCTGGTGTGCTTGAGAGAAGTATCTTTTGAAAGTCACTGCTTTCGTATATACTATTACTATTAGAGGAACTATAAAATATTAAATCCATTCATTATTCAACATGTTTTTGGTTTATCAACAGTTGTACTTTTCGGCCAGGTGTAGTGGCTCATGCCTGTAATCCCAGCACTTTGGGAGGCCAAGGCAGGCGGATCACCTGCGGTCGGGAGTTCAAGACCAGCTTGACCAACATAGAGAAACGCTATCTCTACTAAAAATACAAAATTAGCTGGTGTGGTGGCACATGCCTGTAATCCCAGCTACTTGGGAGGCTGAGGCAGGAAAATTGCTCGAACCCGGGAGGCGGAGGTTGCGGTGAGCCGAGATCGCGCCATTGCACTCCAGCCTGGGCAACAAGAGCGAAACTCCATCTCAAAAAAAAAAAAAAACAGCTTTTCTATAATTATCTCTTACATTCCTTTTTCTTTTTCTTTTGTAAGAGATAGGGTCTTGCTGTGTTGCCCAAGCTGAAGTATAGTGGCTTTTCACAGGTGTGATCTTGGTGCATTACAGCCTCAAACTCGGGGGCTCAAGCAGTCTTCCCACCTCATCCTCTTGAGTAGGTAGGACTGAGGATGTATGCTAGCATACCCACTTCTGTAGTGACTTAACTGACATGTATATAGTCATCCCTTTTTATATTCTATGAGGTAAACTAGGGCAGGAGTTAATATTTTAATAAATGAAAAAACTGAAGTGTTCACTGACTTGCCTAAGATCACAGAATCATTACATGGCAGGAACAGCATTCAAACCCAGGACTTCATATTTTTGGTCTATTGTTCTTTTTATGGCGTGCATTGAAGGGTTTGGTATTTGAAGTGACATAGATCTAAGTTTGAAGCCCAACTTAGGTATTTACATTGGTCAAGTCATTCAGCTTCTCATCGTCTGTTTTCTTATCTCTAAAATGAGAATACTTCTGCTTACCTTAGAGTGCTGTGAGAATAAGATAATACATAAAAAGCGCTTATAGTTCCTGACACATAAGCTCTTAAGGAATGATAGCTAGTAGATAATTATAGATTGAGAACTGTGAAGAAGGTTCATAGTTTATATGGAAGCTCTCCTTTCAATTTCTTATGTTATCAGCTTTTTTGTCCCCATGAGCTGTATGTTTATTCATATCTGATAGATAGTGTTTCATCCATCTTCTTAAATTTATTATGGTTATCGGGCCCCTTAGGAAGGCTTTAATGAGCTATTCACACAGATGGGGAAGTAAAGGGCAAAGTGAAGTGATTTGCTCAAGGTCACAGATTGAGTTACTAAAATAATCAAATCCCAGTATTTCTGGGTTTTTTAATATTTTCATTAGATTTTTTAAAAATTAAGTTACAATTTATATGCTATAGAATTCATTCTTTTAAAAGTACAATTCAGTGATTTTTAGTATGTTCACTCGGTTGTACAGTTGTCACCACTAATTGCAGAACATTTTCATCCTCCCATAAACTCCTTACTCATTAGCATCCTCCCTTCCCCCCAGCATGTATTGCTTCTGGCTCTTGAGTCACAGAGAGGCTTTTCCTTTTTTCAGGTTATAAAGGAATCATTTATATTTTTTCCTGGTGCCTGTATGATGTCTTTTTTTTTTTTTTTTTTTGAGATACAGTCTTGCTCTGTCACCCAGACTGGAGTGCAGTGGCGTGATTTCGGCCTGCTATAACCTCTACTTCCTGGGTTCAGGCGATTCTCCTGCTTCAGCCTCCTGAGTAGCTGGGATTACAGGCATGCACCACCACACCTAGCTAATTTTTGTATTTTTAGTTGATACGGGGTTTCATTATTTTGGCCAGGCTGGTCTTGAACTCCTGGCCTCAGGTAATCCACCCACCTCAGCCTCCCAAAATGCTGGGATTACAGGCGTAAGCCACCGCGCCTGGCCATTTTTTTTTTTAATCCATTTGAAGTTTATCTTGATACGCAAAGTGAGGAACAGAAGAAATTTTATTTTTATGCAAAGGCTATGTAGTTGTTTTAACATCATTTATTAAATTTTTTAGTCCTTTACCCATTATGTAAATTTCACTACAATAAAGAAATAGTCCTGGCCAGGCTCAGTAGTCCATGCCTGTAATCCCAGCACTTTGGGAGGCTGAGGTGTGTGGACCGCTTGAGCTTGGGAGTTGGAGACCATCCTGGACAACATGGTGAAACCCCTTCTCTACAAAAATCACAAAAATTTAGCTGGGTGTGGTGGTGTGTGCCTGTAGTCCCAGCTACTCGGGAGGATCATTTGAGTCCAGGAAGCAAAGGTTGCAGTAAGCCAAGATCATGCCACTGCACTACAGCCTGGGACGCAGAGTGAGACTTGGTCTCAAAAAAAAAAAAAAAAATTCTTCTTCCTCAGTGATTAAAATGACACCTTTGTCATATGCCAAATTTCTATATAGATCTGGGTCTGTGGAGTTTCTTTCATGTGCCACTACTGTACTTTTAATTAGAGGCTTTATTAATATGTTTTGATGGATGGTACAGGTTGTTTCCCCCTCATTCATTTTTAGGATTTTCCTCGTTCCTCTTGTTTCTTTCCTCACAAATAAACTTTCTAATCCCATAGCCTAGTGCCAGAAAAAAATTCTGGCAGTATTTTTATTGGGATTACTAAATACAAACATTAATTTAGAATAAACATTTTTATGATGTCGAATGTTCCTTGAAGAAATATGGTATCTTTCAATTTGTGTGAATCCCTTTTGAAGGAAATATATTTCAGATTCCAAGTATTGACCTAAATTATATTCAATCTAATGTTACTTAAATTCCATAGTACTCTTAAATAATTGTAAAACTCAATAGATTTACTGTTTAAATACAATTAAATCTGCAAAAATCCCCAAATCAGCAACATTATATTGATGTGAAATAATCTAATTTGCTGTTACCAGTTTACTGTAGTTTAAACTACAAGGACATTTATTATTGATAGGATGTTCCAGGGTTCATTCAATTGCTAAACAATTTCATTCAGGATCCAGGCTTTTTGCATCCTTTCTTTTGCCATCCTTAGAATGGTGGCTTTTCCTTCTCTTGCTTGTCATCTTATGGTTGCAGGATGGCTGCTGCCACTCTGCTTCTATCTTATCTTTACAAATAAAAAGAAACAGGGGCCAAAGTCCTTTCCTAGCTAAGCTTGTCTTTTAATTTTTTCCCAGAAATGCAAGCTCCCCAGCAGATTTTTCCCTTAAGTCTTTTCGTCCAGAACTGTTTGCATAACCATCCTAAAAGCAATCACTGGCAGTAGGGAATGGGATTAACTATGATTGGTTTAGACCAATTTTGGTTCATTCCCTTGGACTGTAGGAGAGACAAGAAGAGATCTCCACTAGCTGCTTAAACAAAAGCATCACAATTTTGTTAGGGAAGAAAGAGTGGGAAGTGGGCAGGTAATGTCTGAAATGGAGAATAAACAGCATCTGCCCCAAATCCTGAGGTTAACAAATAGAGAAGCCTAATCTTCTGATTTCAACTTCCCTACTGTTTTCATTGCAGTGTAAGTATAGGAAGTAATAATCCCACCCCCAACTCCCCTGCCCCTTATTGCCAGATTTGAGCCCCTTGACATTCATTTCAGAACTTCTGAGTAAAAGTCCATTTTTCCACTGTTACTTATTGCCAGCAGATCCATTTCTTCTTGTATCTTCAGAATTGGGTAGTTTGCTCTTTTGTTTTATTTTAAACCTAATGAGGCTTCCTTGTTATGCTACTTGATGTCAGATTTGAGAAAACTTCTCTAGTTGTTTGGAAAAAGACTTTTTCCTTCAAACTATGAAATAGTTTTTTGTTTTGTTTTGTTTTTATTTTTTTTTTTAAGAGAAGGAACGTTTAATTAATAGTTCCATTAAGAGGGTGGCCACACACTTAGATACTCTTCAAATACAACATTGGTTACCAGTTTCAGGTACCTTCTACCAATATATTTTGAAGATTGAATAAGAGATTATATTGAAAATTCCAATCATTTCAAACCACACCAGAAGACTGAAGTTGTTTACTTATCAGTCCTTTTCCTGTATGCTTCTGTGTGTGTTTCTGGCCATGGACTTTTTCCAGGTTTAAGTGGACATCCTCTCTGCCACTAACAAGTTGTATGACTCCGGTCAGTTATTTTTCTCTTCCTGGGCCTCATTATCATGGAAAGAAAGAACACTTCGGCACCTGACATACTTGTTTAAATCCAAGCTCCCCAGCCTGGGCAACATAGCAAAAACTTGTCTCTACTAAAACAAAACAAAACAATCAGGCATGGTGGTGCACACCTGTTAGTCCCAGCTACTTGAGAGACTGAGATGGGAGAATCACTTGAGCCTGGGAGTTTGAGGTTGCAGTGTGCTGTGATCGTGCCACTGCA